GTTCATATTTTCCTGGACCTTTCAATGATGTCAAAATCTTATCAAACCATTCTCAGAACTTTTTTAAGTTCTCCGCAGATATAGACCTTACTGCACGCGAAATACAAATTAAGGTTCGGTAATATGTTATATCAAGGATTTTTTGGGAAAAAAGTATATTTTAGATAACTACCAATATAGCATGACTCAAAATCACAAAAAACGGAGGGTCAGTGTACATCTTTCTGAGCAATGGTATTATTAACTTTTTGCACTTTTAAAAATGTAACATTTTGATTAATCACTTTAATCTTTCTCTTATTTTATCAGATGTAATCATGGTTATAAATATAATCTTATTTGCATTGATGTAAAATAGTTTTAATAATATTTATCATTGAAAAAAAAAATCATGCAAATCAATGTGCAAAAATTATTGTGTGACCTTTTTACACTAAAAATATCATATTTAGGGTTTTAAAAAAATCTAAAACAAGCAATAGAAATATGTTCATGTATTAAGCTTTTTATGACTTTAGTGCTGATTGGTTGGAAGTATCTTGTACTGTAGTTTAAAATTATGAGAGAAAAAGATGGGGCCAGTGATATAAATTTTGAGATATTGTTCAAAATATGATATTTCAAGCAAAAAAAAAAAAAATGTAAATGATATTAAAATGTTGCCTGAGTTTCTGATTGACAATATCTATGTGGTTTTTGGCGATCAGGTCTTCCAACAATCTGTTGGAATTCCCATGGGTACCAATTGCACCCCGTTGTTAGCAGACCTATTTTTGTATTCATATGAAGAAGAATTTATTTAAAAAACTTCTACACGAGAAGAAAACGCTTGCGGTGGCCTTCAAGTCGACGTTTAAATATATCGATGACGTATTAGGCCTATTAATTAACAATTTTTAGGTTCATTCATATGGCTATTCGATATATACCAGTGAATTTGAAATGAAAGACACCACAGAATCTGACACATCTGTTTCATATTTGGATATTTTACTAGAAAAAGACATTAATGGTAAACTAACAACAAAAACTTTATGATAAACTTGATGACTTCAACTTTTCTATCGTCTACTTCCCTTACTTATGTAGCAATATACCCTTATCACCTGCATATGGGGTTTATACGCAAGAGCATGCTCTACGTACGATCATTTTTAAAACGAGGCAAGCTATTAACTAACAAGTTGATGAAACAAGTATATCAACAGTCTCTTTTAAAGTCATCATTTCGCAAGCTCTGTGGTCGATACAATGACCTTAACAGCAAATACAATCTATCATTAGGTCAAATGCTGACTTATGTTCTTCATACTAATTGTTAGGCCATTATTTGCACACCTGAAATTTCTACAGACTTTTCGTTTACCCGTTCATGACAAGGAGCACACGGCGGAGGTGTTTACTCCTCCTTGGCACCTGATCCCGCCTCTGATGTTTTTGGAGGTCCGTGTTTGCTCTGCTCCCGATTTGTATTGTTTGAATGGACTATGAGCTTGAATACTGTTTTCGTTATCTTCATTTCATCTATATAGACTTCTTCAATGTATCTTCATTTCTTGGTAAAGTCTGTAGAGTGAATGTGTAAAATTTATTCTTAAATTAATAATTGAAAGCTATATTTTAAAAATATTCCAAGCATATACTAACGAAAAAAAAACTCTCCGTAAAAAAAAATAAATAGGGCTAAAGATCTAGGATATTGAGGTGAACGAATGTGTAGATTTTGAAGAATTTTCTTCTAAATATCCTTTCACCACAAAAAATAGTCTCCCATAAATCTTGTTTCTTTTGATTCTTTATGACTTTGTGTGTAGTTTTTAAATTGAATATTGTATAGTTTGCATCATTGAATTCAATTATATTATCAAAATTGAAATAATCTCAGAAGCTCAAGAGTGACCTTAAATGCTGATAAATTTACACCCTCTCTATCGCATCCTCTAATAACCTGGGGGATAATTAATCAACTGCTGCCCAGTCTTACTATCGATATAATTATATCTTAGAGCAAATTTAACTACAAACTGCTTCTGGAAGATCTCTGGCGACGTTTCGCCACCAAAAGCTTTTTGGTCCGTCCCATTGTTCAATACTTCGTCCGGCCTATCAGGTGTCGAGCTGAAGTCCAGCTTTGAGGTAGCGCTGAAGGAACTTTTACCAAACCTCTCCTCCATCCGCAGAACAACCTCACAAAAAATTAAGCAGGGTGCTTCTTCGTTTCAGGATATCAAAGTACTTGGCGAACAAAAAATCGGGATCGTTCCACTGGTGATACACCGCCATTGTGGAGAACTAGGCGTACAACCGCCCAATTCTGCACCCAATTGTACTTTATTCCATTGACCTCTGCTAGAATATTCCAGGTCAAAGAACTTCTAGTACCCGGGGGGGGGGATTAAACTCGACAAACGAGTACTGTTATCTGTAGTCATGAGGGTATGATCTTGAGATATAACCCAGGTCACCCCCAATGCTAGGTGTTAATGACCGACCACCTTCTCGTGCTGTCGACTGCCCTATCAACTCACCATAGTAATCAGAGCCCTGACTACTCAAGTTAGCTACACTGTCTAATTTGCGAGAATGCCAATACTCCCTGCAATTTTGACCCAGAACACCAGAGCCTATGCTGGTATAGAATATACTGGGTACCTTGCCTGCCCCTGCCCCCCCCCCCCCCCCGATACAAAGGAGCTAAAAGTAATCGTGCTTGGCAGACAGGATCCCAAGCTGCTGTTGCCAATTGACCATAAGGACTGTACGATGGCCGATAGCGGCCGTCAATTTACACTAACGTTATGTGTGTAACATGTACAGCATTTTCACTGAAAACTCACTGACACATTACACCTAAAAGGAAAAGTGTACGAAGTGTACAGTGTCAAAGCAAATTCCATGTACACTCTACACCAAAGTTATGTGTGTAAAGTGTCAGAAAAACTTTCATGTACACTCTACACCTAAAGGTGATATCAAGATTCAAAACAGATCCAATGTTTCTTTATCGTGCTGCTCCCTCAAAGTGCCTCTTGATGTTCATATAAACCTGAAGTAATTTTTATTTATATTTTCGCTATAAGGAAATGGCTAAATAAATGCGTCTGTCCAGTAGAAGATATCAAACAGTTCATATAGTTCTGGAAGTGAAAAATCTTGTTTCTAGTAAATATGGATGAAAGGTTATAATACATTTCAAAATATATGAAGTGAATCTTTTTTTTTTTACTTAGCAGTAATATTCACAATCATTTTCACACAATGTGAAATGAAAACAAGAATTGTTTTATATTGTGTGATAATTATCACTTTCCATTTTTTGACTGGAAAATTTGAATGCTGATGTACCTCTCCTACTGGCAGGCTGATCCGTTTTCCAAGCTGTGTCCTAAATAGCATTTTCGATAGTTATTATCATGATCTGATTAAGTACCTGTAATTTAATTGATGACCCTTTTAAACCTTTCATAAAATACTAATTTTGCTCTTTACTGATTATTTACCAAAGAACTTAATTTGCCAGCATTTCCTCAGGCCCCAAAACCATAAAATGAGAATAGACTTAAGTCAAAATTTGATTTTTTAGTATCTTGAATTTTTTTTTTTAATGTTGTTGCCAGATCTATGTGAACTTCAAAAGGTACCTTGTGAGAGCAACACAAAGAAACACGTCTGGTTCTGTTTTGAATCTTGATTTCACCTTTAGATGTAGAGTGTACAAGAAAGTTTTTCTGACACTTTACACACATAACTTTGGTGTAGAGTGTACACGGAATTTGCTTTGACACTGTACACTTTGTACACTTTTCCTTTTAGGTGTAATGTGTCAGTGAGTTTTCAGTGAAAATGCTGTACATGTTACACACATAACGTTAGTGTAAATTGTCGGCCGCTATCGGCCATCGTAGGACTGACATTGAACCACTATAACCCCCATCTCCCCTACGAGGAAGAGGTACAGACCCGCACACCACCCCCATTGCTAGGTGTTGTTATTCTGTGTGCTTCCGCAGGCAGGTACTGACAATATCAGAATACATTATAAATTAACTCACTGTAGTGCATTACAAAAAGAGAAAAAAAATCACATGAAGACCAATATTTCTAAATATATTATTATTATTGACCCTTTTCCAAGATATTGAATACACGACCCCCTCCTCTTTTTTCTCTCTCTCTCTCTCTCTCTCTCTCTCTCATTTGACATAATAGGCCTATATCAGTAAATTTGTATGACAGGAAAACAGTGTTGGCATAAACTTACATGTAGGTATCCTAGAGTTAGTCTCCAGTATTACTTAGTATTTTAATAAATTTTACTTGAATGATGAAAAGATCTGCCTTGAAGTCTTCTACTGAAAAAAAACGAAAGTTGAATGGTTGTAATTTTAAATATATTTGAACCGATATATATATATATATATATATATATATATATATATATATATATATATATATATATATATATAACTGACTGAATCATCCATCAAAAATATAATAGAGTCACTCTATCAGAGTGATTCGTGCTTTCAAATCCACTACCATGTATAAATAATCAATACTGTCGTAGCTAACTTTTGCCAGCATACAATGAAGGGTTGACCATTTTCTAATTGAAGGGAGACCTCATATTGTGTTGAATCATTAAAAGTATGTTGACATCTGTGAAAGTTTAATGTACTCCAGAAGGTGATTTTTTAATAAAGTGTGTGCAATTCGAGTAGGATTAAACACCTGTTTTTTGATAATTTAATTTACGCCTTTTAGATCTCATTCGGTGGGAAAAAAAAATTCAAGAAAACAAGTGATATCAGTGACTTTTTTATCAAGTCGATCTCATTTGTCAAATATCTCTCTACAATACATCAGTAATTTGTTTTTCCTCGCTGCAGAGTGTAATACCTCCTAGCCTACGGTAAGTCGGTGTCGAGAAAATAATTATCTATTAACGACCAGAAAAGTGCCTTGTTTTTTAATAATACACCTTTCTTTCTCTCTCTCAGGTGTCATATATCAGTCCGCTGTTTTGATAGCTTATTACATCCTACTCGATTGGACGGTCCTTCTTGTGTTGCGGTACAAGGTCAAGGACTTCGATATGTTGGCCGGTATCAGTTGAGAAAGACCTACAGGCAAGATGGCCAAAACTGCAAGAGGTCTATTGACTTCTACACCGGGCTAAATTTCCGAAAAATTTTAGTATCAGGCTTAAAAGGATAAAAATATGGATGGAAAATCGACATTTTTATTTCCTGTGGTTTATGGATTATTTGTTATATTAACTTTTCATGTGTGTTTATGTTCAAATGACTTTGAGGAGGAATTTCAGTTAATTCAAGGTAATTTTAAGATAAGAGACGGCGTAAACTATCAATCCATACCTAATTCAATGGTTAAATATTTGTTGTTATACTCGTGAAGGCGGCTTTAATGAGATAATATTGTTTTGAGGAAATGACACATAGTCATAAAATTCGTTGTTTTTATCGTGCACGATATGTGCCAAAGGGTTGACGAATAAACTATAACTGATGTGTTATATGAACATTTACCAACATTGTAGAAATGAACTTTTTTTTTCTTTTTTTCCTCATGTATTAGAAGATTCGATGTTCTTATGAAGCTGAAAAATTGGCAATATTTACACGTTAATATCCAGAAAATTAGGCTACATAGTTGAATCATACATTTCATAAGTTAAATACTTGCTCTAAATCAACTGAGATATCATTGTTTATTCCGTGTGTCTACAGTATGGTTATTTTACAGTAATATCGTGAAAAAGAGACTTCGAGAAACTCCACACTTAACGGTATTTTGACGATTTCGCAGAGACATCAATATTGGTTCAGTTCTCAGAGATTCAGAATCACGAGGATTAAAATGATAACGTTGACAAAGAAATAGTTTTTATTGCATTTTCCAATTATTTCAATATTCATAAGAGCAGAAAATGTCAAAATATACTGGACATAAACAATGGTTCGGGAAGGGGGTAGTTTTTTTTTGTTTTTTGTTTTTTGTACTAGAACATGTTCGATAATTTGGATCAAACCGCTGGATCTAATGTCCAATTATTCCGTGTCAGGATCTTTGTTATACTTGTCATCGTTTGCTCGTCAAAAGTTAAAACAATGAATTAATCAATAGAACATGCGGTTCGTCTGCCTTGAAACTTGCCAATCAATATATCACGTGGTTCATGACCGTATAATTACCAGTTTTGATACTTCATATTTTAAAGAAGTTAATATAGTGAAAATTATAATTGATCATTCAAAGTATTCATAGCAAATGAATGCATAACCTTAATTTTTTTCGTAGTCATAGTCATTTCAAGAACTCATTTGTTACCCATTCCTAATAACACTTTTTTGTACAGTTGCATTACGGTGCTGTTCGTTTCCTATAAACAGTCCATAAAGCTAAGCATGCAGGGACAAAAGCAGGATTTTATTTGTGGAGGGGATACATTTTTTCTTAATTTAGTCTTAAATTACTTTATACGAGCCTGCCTCACAATTTTTATTACAAATTGAAAGCTGGTACTGTACAAAAATGGATCATGCCCATCTATCCATGCTATTAAAATCTCCTCTCCTTGCATTATCTGTCGACCTGATCATGACGAAATAAACTATATATATACTTTACACATTATTAGTAGTTCCGTGAATTCACAGAATTTTTCTATTTATAACCAGACACAATTAATTAGGTATAATGGAGAAGACTCAAAATAGCTGAAATGTTGAATGAAATAGGCAAGATATTTTCATACGTAAATTCATCTATTGATATACTAAAGAAGTTGCTTTCGTTTTTATTAACATACACAGGCTTTTTATAACGTTATAAACACCGCTAAATATTTTAACATACACAGGCTTTTTATAACGTTATAAACATCGCAAAATATTTTACCTAGAAAGCCATTTGGTAAGGGGGTAAAAAATCATAATAAGAGAAGTTCAGTTCGAAAAGTACCTGGCCTTGTTAATTTTAGTGTTAAATTTTGTAAAGAGAGGACACAATCATTACAGAGCTTGTCAACCCTGCACTTGTTTCTTTTTTCATGTTTTACAAGAAAATCTGTAAACACTTCAAATTTATTGACCGTGTGTGATCATAAATACCACATGAGGAGAAAATAAGTACTCTGTGTATTCTGTAGTATTTATCATTTATGCAAGAAGGAAAACATAATTCATAAAATCATATTGTTTTCAGACAAACCGTTTTCCAACAGCACTGTTTATGACAAAAATGTGACGTGTGGTCAGCATCGACCAGGCTTATTCCCAACAGAAACGTGGACATGCAATGACATCAAGTAAGTCACCTGAACATGTGATGATATAAGGTTATTTATTTCAAGCTCTCTGATTGGCTCAAACTTGATCACATGATTAAGTATATAACAGCATATTGACCTGTGTTACTGTTTAAAGATTCTGAAACGCATATCGACTTGATGTTTCTAAAAATGAAAATACATGTAATCTTCTATAAAACAATAGTAATAATGCTGATCGACTTCAATAGCTAATACAGTGTATGACTTGATGTTTCTGGAAAAGAGTTCTTCAACTCCTATAATTTATAATTGTGATGTTCTTTAATAATTGGTAATTGGATCTACTTTATATTAAAACATATTACATGTTTTTCATAAATTGTGACAAAGCATAATAAAACAAATGTAGCCTTTTAAATTAGTAAATTCCCCTAAATTACTCTATAAGTTTAAAGGAAACACAATTACATTAAACAGCTTAATTTATCTTGATCTCTAGTCTCTATGTGTTAAAAAGAAAATAGAAAAAAACTTGTGGCTTGTTCAAGTTATTTTCAAATTTTGTTTTGTTATACGTTAATCTCTGTAAAAAATAATTTAACAAATGTAGCCCTTTCCTTCTGTAAATCCATAGATATATCGACTTCACAAAAAAAATATCGACCTCTCACAATATATCTATGGATCGACCTCATCAAAAGGCTATATTTATAATATAGCATATACGCGTCATGCATCAATTAAGACGCATGGAAATGTAATAAAATTAGGTAAGTAACCAAGACATGGTATGGTAAGTCACATAGATGTTTAATGATATCAGGTACATGCTCATAAGTTATTTGAATATTTTGTAACATCAAGTACCTAAGGAGGTAACTTAAATGAACAAAGTATTGACATAAGGTAAGTTACCCGGGCAAGTAATGACATTGAGAAAAATATCTAGATATTTTTTGACATTAGGAAAATAATTTGCAGAATTAATGACATCAGGAAAGTAACATAGACGTGTAAAAATGACATCAGGAAGGTCACCTGGACATGACATGACATCAGGTTAGTAACCTGGGCATGTAATGATATCTGATAGGTCACCTGGACATGTAATGACATCAGGTTAGTAACCTGAACATGTAATGACATCAGGTAAGTAACCTGGACATGTAATGACATCAGGTAAGTAACCTGGACATACATCAGGTAAGTAACCTGGACGTGTAATGACATCAGGTAAGTAACCTGGACATGTAATGACATCAGGTTAGTAACCTGAACATGTAATGACATCAGGTAGGTCACCCAGACATGAAATGACATCAGATAAGTAACCTGAATATGTACTGACACCAGAAAGGTCCAGGTCATATGGACATGTTATTACATCACAAAGGTCATCTGGCATGTAATGACATCAGGTAAGTAACCTGGACGTGTAATGACATCCTATAGATCACCTGGACATGTAATGACACCAGGTAAGTAACCTACGCATGTAATAATGACATCAGGTAAGTCACTTAAACATGTAATGACACCAGGTAAGTAACCTATAACATGTATTGACATCAGATAGGTCATCTGGACATTTAATGACATCAAGTAGATCACCTTGACATGTAATGACATCAGGTTAGTAACCTGAACATGTAATGACATCAGGTAAGTAACCTGAACATGTAATGACATCAGATAGGTCATATTGATATGTTATGACATCAAATAGGTCACCTGGACATGTAATGACATCAGATAGGTCACCTGGACATGTAATGACATCAGATAAGTCACCTGGACATGTAATGACATCAGATAAGTCACCTGGACATGTAATGACATCAGGTAGGTCACCTGGACATGTAATGATATCAGGTTATTTAAAAGGACATGTACTTACATAAAGTTACAAATTTCAATAAAAATATTTTTTTAAAATCATATATTTGAACATCGAAGCCTTAACTCCCTACTGCTTAGTTACGATGTACTGCATGTAAATTTCAAAAAAGAGTTCATTAGCCTTAAGGAACTAATTTGTGTTGTATACGTCAAATCATTTCGATTTAATTTCTCTTTGATAACCACTACATCAAAAGAAGAAAGCCCGCTGCTTTACGTTTCTGACTTTTTTTTATATTTCTTATCAGAATTAATTTCTTCTTTTACTTTTTTTGAGAGGTAATTAAACTGCCTCAACGGTATTTGAAACGTTTTTGTTACAAGACAATATAGGGGTAAGAGGATATTATACTCTCTTTACAGAATAAAACTCCTCTGTTCTGTTGAAACAATCAGGAAATCGTGATGCATTTCGTGATGCCTAGTGTCTTATCAAAAGTAATCACTCAACGGCTGTAGATGTTCCATTTTCTGATTAAACCACGAATGGCCAATGATGTAATCTTCTTTTAATAACGTATTGCAAATCATACGACGGATTAACAACTGTATACCTTTTATGAGAGTCTTTACTTTCTGCTTGACAAATGTAGACAGAAATATTCTTTAACATTATTCGAATGATATTTAATGGAATCGGTAGACAGAAAGACAAAATTTTGATGTTTAAAAATCTGTTACGAATTCTTTTAAAACTATTGTAAATAGTATCAAGTGCATTATTCCAATTCTTCACCTGATATTTAAAAAGAAAAATTTTAATAATTTTCTAGGAAACACAAGAAAGTAGAAAAGTTCTCCAAATTGTTTCAAATTTCCTTTGCGAATTCCATAATGTGCTGCTACAATGTCCTTATTGATTTTTGTATCCTTATTTTTGGACTTGAATTATTGTAATTGGATTGGGTTGAACCCATAAAAATTTATTGTATCAGTTAAGTAGGCAATAAAATGTCCATGAATATATTCCATTTTTAAACAAAGGGCAGATACTTGATTCATAAAATATCTGTGCCTTGAAAATATTGGAAATTATATATTATGACTCTAGCTTATATTTAAGCAATGATCCAGATTGAAATGCTTAGATGGTTCTATTAAGCATGGTCGCATATTAATCTCTGGCTTTTATCCTTTATTTATACAATTAAATATTGCAGGATAACGGTTGGGACATTGCAGAAAAATGGTAACCTGCTTAGGCGGGTTATGTAATTTTTTCTGCAATGATTGAAGTCGTAATTCCTTTCATTAACAAAGAAAGAAAGATATTTCTTATATTTATATCAGGATAAATTATTATAGAGGAGAACATTTTTAGTGGATGTGAATAAAAAAATTAATGATTAAATCGTTTGACTGAACTTTTGATACCTTTCCAGTGTCAATTACCAGACCAATTAAAATACAAGTGTACTGCAGTAGATTTGGATATATTTTCATGACTATTATTGCAACCATAAAGTACATACTTACAAACAACAATTTGTATTGATTTTTTTTTTTACAACATTCAGATTAGGTCAGAATAGATGCTGTAAATTGGAATACTGCAATCAAGAGTTCTAAAAGCCTTTTCAATATTTAATTATTTATTACTAAATTCTTTCCATTTTACCATTGTTAATTTCACAGCTGCTCCCTTATATTGTTGCTTTTGATTTCAATCATCTTAAGGAGGTTGGATCCTGTTATCAAAAGTAATGAGAATTTTTTATCAAGTATATTTTTGGAATCTACACGCATAGCTTAATTAAAAATCAAAACAAAATATGGGGGTCAGTGCGCTTCTTTTGGAGCTACGGAGCATTTAATAAGACCTTTTTGCACTGTAATCACGTCAAACACTTAAATCAATTTTTCAAACGGAATTTATTCATGGGGTTTTAACTGAATATAGTTGTAGCATTGTAGAATCCAAATTTATTGTAAGAACTAAAACATTATGCAGATTTTTTTTAAAGAGGTCAAGGCAAGAATCTGCTCAAAAGTTAAGGAACGAACCTCTCTAATATTTTATATGCATAAAAATTCTTATTGTCTTCTTTTTAAATATGTAAATAATTCTATTTAATACACTTGAATGGAATGTTTTATTAGTTTTAAATACATGTACTTGCGCCCGACCCAATGATATATTATAAAAAAGGGAAAATATATGAAATCAAATTAATATTAACATAAAAGGTTTACGAGCAGTTCGTATCAAGATTAAGTATTTTAGAGTGTACAAGAGAGTTTGGTTAGTACTACTAGTACTTACAGTACACTCTTCAGACCAATTAATAAATATCAATGAACTATATGAATATTGTTCCAGGGTAGATGATATGAGGATAGCCTACGGCTACTATCCGGGGTTAGGCGCTGACACAAAGTGCACGGAAACTGGAGGCTTTGACGAGCTTAGGGAACTCTGTCGAAGATTGCTTCAGTCTATATCCTTCAGTGGCAAGTTATGGGGAGCGCAGGTATAGCAATATTTAAATTTAAAGCAAATTTGTTTTGATGCTTTTTGTATACTTGAACATTTTGTTAAAAAAAAAAAAAAACATGCAACAGAATGAAACTCTTATATGTAAATTGTGAACCAAGAACATCGCAACAAGAACATCGCAACATCCAACATTTTTGAGGATGTTCTTGAATCCAAAAATATGAGTTGAACATGTTTTAGACTGATTTTCTACACCCTGCATCATGAAGATTCATCACATAGATTAGTTAGGTAACTTTGTATTTGTCCAACATTTAGTGGCAACAAACCTTCTATTATATGATGTCATGGGAATTTCCTTCTCTCTGGCTAATAGCCATGATGTTGAAAAACGTTGTTCTCTGAAATAACCCATCCTTTGCAGCAATGACAGAGATTCAATGTAAAATGAGCTAGTAAACATTCTGATTCATCTCCAGAGAATTTTAGTGGAAGATCGTCATTGAGTCGTAGTTTTGCTTGCAGTATATTGATTAGAGCAAGAAAACAATGAGAAAAGAATATCGACTGGGCAACAAAAGTACTGATAATTTAGAGAAATTGTGACGTTCATATTCCGAAGTGGTATCTAGAGTTCAACAACAGTGTTTTAGAATTTCATAAAACTCTTGAAATCTGAAATATGATGCTGCAAGGCAAATACTTTTTTTTCTAATTGAAGAGTAAAATAATAAAATAATTTTAGAATTGACAAGTGTTAATTCTAACCATAAAAGAACTAGTTTTGGATGGAGAGACCTTTTCTAGTATAAAAAAAATCCTAGTTGCTCTCTTCTTTTCGTGTCGCCTTTAGAGCAGAGCGACACTTGGGAATCATTTTACCCTGCGTGTGTCTGTCATCACACCTTATATCTTGAGAACTGTAAGAGGTAAAGATTTGATATTTTGGTCATGTATTGCTTTGGCACTATAGCTTTTGTAAAATACCATGATTACCGACCATGTGAACTTTCAACTTGACCTCTGACTTGCTTTTCAAAATAGTTCATTATGCCGACATACACATGTACAGTGTATTTTTGGACATTTTAGAGATAAGTTTGTGCTATTTAGCATGTGCACTGTTTGTCAAATACCAGCCTTTACAGTTTAGTTGACCTTGTCCTTTGGTCTACTTTTCAAAAATACTCGGAACGGTTAATTAATCTTATGCCTTCTGAACTTTGAGATCCAGGGCTTCCATAAGTATTTTTATATGTCATATGTTTATGAGCTCATGACACTGTACTTTTAAACTGCATGATAAACATTTACCACACAAACTATGAAAATACATCGGGATCGATATACTGAAATTAATCGAGCTTCTTTGTTACCCTATGATCTTGTTTATAGTTTAAGCAAATTTCGATGTGTTAGACACAGATTACCTATTGAGTGTGGAAGGTTTTTAAATATAGATAGAGCAGATAGATTATGTGATCTCTGTTGTGTTGGAGAAGTTGGAGATGAATTTCACTATATTTTTAATTGCAATTTTTTTAAATGATGAAAGAAGAAAGTACATACCTGAATAAGTTTGCAAAGTGAAAAATATCAATAGTTTTGCTAACCTGTTTAACAGCGATGATAAATTTACCTTAATTGACTTGGCAAAATTTTGTAAGATTGTAATGTCTTTATTTCACTCTTGAAATCCCCTCCAATACCTCTAAATTTATATGGTATATATGTTAATCCTTTGTTCATTTGTTACCTTTTCATTGTTGATTTATTTCTCTTTGTACTTTTATGCCTCATGTGAGGCCATAAAGTGAATAAAATGTTCAATGTTTCAAAAAAATCTTTTGAATGAAATTAATTCTTATAATTTCAATTTCATTATTCATTTTAGCTCTGAGGGTTGGGGAATCGTATTTCTATTTTGTTACCACACTTAATGATGAATGCTATTCTAGTTCTATCGGAGTCTTTAATTTCCATGGATATTTTTTCTTTGCAGGCAAATGCATGAACAATACAAGTATGCAAATAAATAGCTGATCACTTGATCACTCTTAGATTTATTTCTAATATTTATAGCAGGTGACATAAGCGTTCCTTGTAACACTATAGTTTCCAAAGATGTTCAAATGCAAGCTTTTGATAAGTAAGGAACAAGAAGAAAACAAAGATTTGCTGCATTTGTCAACAATTCCACACCTTATTCTGTAAATCGTTAACATCAGCTGCAGGGCGAAAGCATGTCTTATTAAAAAAAAAAAATCAATATTTACTATCGATGTTAATGCATCTAACTGTGTAGTTCGTAAACAAGATTGTGTTCTTCAGATCGCCAAAAACTATCAAATGTGTTTGTTTTGATCAATTTTTGTTTTGCATTTTCTCATTTTCAAAAGATATTTAACTGAAAAAAGGTTTAAGTAATGAGACTAATCGTATTCAACTTCTGGTCGTTCCTTTGTTTGCTGGTCAAATTGATTTCTTGTGTGTTCATTAGCCATCTGTCATGAGATGTCTGGAATACAACATATCGTCTTTGTAGAACTTTTATCACGTTGTCATAGCAGTGTGTCAATGTGTCTTGCAAATTTAATTTCCGGGTGAGTAACGTTGAAAAGTCAATTATTGTAGTGTTTAGTCTCGAATTTATTAAACAATGTTTTTATTACTTTTCACGGCTTATATATCAAGACATTTCACTTGTCCTGAATTAACAAATCTTTTTTACACACACTAAAACAATGTAACTTCCTTTTTAGATAATTAAATTTTTGAAAGACATTATTTAAGCAATTGAATATAAGTTCTTCATATGAAATATATATATATATATATATATATATATATATATATATATATATTTAGAAAAGAAATTTTTGATGCTGTGTTTTGCTCAAAAGAACAATTGTCGTATTTCTAGAAAAACAGGGTCTTACATTCTACGTTTTTAAATAGATTTTTTTTTTTTAAATAAAAATTTTAAGATTTTCAGTAAAAAAAAACAAACAAACAAAAAATCCATTGAGTACATTTCGCTGCATGAAATGCCCATGATAATGACAGTTTAAATTTACATGTACTTAATATGCCAAAGAATCTCGTAATGACTATAAAACCTCATAGAAGACCCTTGTTTAAAAAAAACTATTAACTACTTCAGACTTCGACACCTTTTATCATACCTTTGCAACTATAATTTCGTAACAATTTCTGACAAACTTAAAGGATGGCATTTTGACAAAGTTTAAGATGTTTTCAATCAATGTTGATATACAAATGTACTTACTGATGCCTACAAAAAATGTTTTGTTTGAAAGTTATAATTTGGATATACAGGGTATTTAATACAAAGTAGAGCTAGAGAAAATTGTTTTCTTTTGTAAACTTACGGGAGGGGGATCTTAATGCCTCTGGGGTCCATATTCTTAATGTTTTCCATTTGTCCTAGTTCAACCAAGTCGTCATTAACATATTTTGACCATTTTCAGGTGTCCAGTGCCACTTGCAAGTATACAACAGCCACTCGTGTCACCCTTAACATGGTGATAGGGGGCTACGAATGGCAAGAATTAGGACCAGGCCATGGCATGATTGAAACCCTACAATGTACTGCTTTCCCAAAAGACGAGGATGTAACGATATTGTGACTCTGGTCTCACGGACTCGCCATTTGAAAAACAGCACACCGTTATGTTCCAGTTCTTACCCGATTTGTTTCTTATTTCGCCAAATGATCTCTTGTTATAGCTTGAATGAGTGGATGAATGTTCATATACCATATATTTTTCTGAGTGTCATTTATGAGTAAATAAAACATTGTTAGAAGTCTTTTGTGTGGGCATATAAATTCAAAAAAGAATAAGATCACACAAATGAAAAAAAAGAACAATTATTAATTTCCTTTCGCGAATAACAAGGGTTTGGTGCTTTAAACGTATTTTATAGCAAAAAGCACTTTTTATTTAATAAAAATACATTGTATACAAGAAAGCATTAGCTTTAATAAAATGGCAATTTCTCTGAAAAGATGCGCATAGATTGTTTCGCTGATGGCTGACGGCAAAATTCAATTACTGAAGTGTCTAACATCGTATATTGTTTTACGGGTTTACCACTCTACTTGGCGAAATATCGGTAAAACCTTCAGACCATTGCAATTTCGTAAAGATTAAAAATTCAGCGGCATTTGCTTTGATAGGCATAAGGCATGAACAATGTACAAGCAATTTAAATGACATTTCTTTGTTTATCTCAAAATTTAACATCAAATATTCTGTTGATGATAAGAATATTATCATTCCCTTTCAATTTATCTTAAACCAATGTTTCCAGTATTTGTCATGAAATTAGAAGGAAATAGCATAATAAGTGGTGAAAATAAACATCTTGTCATTTCCGAGTCTCTAAAAAAGTCAGCATCTTGTCATTTATTATCGCAATCAACTGCTGTAAGTAATGTCATGTGCCTTGGTTAATTAACGTTAAAAAATAATTAAAATAAAAAAAATTAGATATTATTAGTTAAAATTTCCCAAGTTCAAGTTCAGTTTATTCACCAAAACCAAAATATTGGTATATTGGGTACATTAATAACATATATAAATAACATATATACATTATATACAAACTGGTCAGAGGTACATATACAAAACAAAAAGCATGACAGAAGATTGATAAAAAAAAAATAAGAGAGGGGAAAATATATCAAGGAGGACAGACAGCATTAATTTTTAGAATAAACAAAGTTTTTTCAGCATTTTTTCGTTTTGAGTTGACATTCCCTGGGAAAATTGACTTGACATTAAAATAATCTGGTCATCTAATTGATAGGTTCTATACAAACGTGGCTAATTACTGTTAATATGTTCACTGAAAGTCGCTTTTAAGAACAAAACAGTAATGAATTCCTCACAATCTTTGCAATGCCTTCTTAAAATATTTCTGTGTGTTAAACAATAAAATGCTTTCTTTGCTTGTTATTACGGGAATTAACGTTGCAGCTGTTGCAGAAATATGCATGTAATTTCTTTCTGTAATAGCTGCAACGTAAATTCCCGTACTTACATACAAAGACATTTTATTGTTTATATTATATCTGTACAAATTATCATTTAAAATAGGATTTAGTTGATGAAATAGTGTATTATTGGTATGTACGTCATTGTACGTTTCATTGCTAGGATAGCCATAGCTGCAGAACTGTAGCTCTCTGGTCTGAGAAAATTTGGACAGACAAACCAGAAAATCTGCTCAAAAAAATCCGTAGATGTGATATTGTTAGTGGTGTTTACTGAATGATAAACGGAAATGATTTTCTTAAGAAATAAAGGAAATGTAAATATTTTCTGATTTATCATTGTTACACCAAAACATTCCCTGAAGCTGTTTCATCAGCTCCTCTGGGCCTAAATTTGACACTTAAAAATGTCGCCTGTTCCATGACCTTTGAATTAAGATAATGAAACATATTTTGATTCATCCCCAGAGTTCCGAAAGAAATTTAAATGACAACGTCTGACTGACAGACAGACAGCAAGGAATACAGCAACCTGGAAACAACATACTATGTCTCCTCCCTGCATTCGGCACACCTCGGCTGATTCGTATCTCATTATTAAGGTGATGGAATCATCCGAGGTTTGCCAGATGTCCTCCTTGCTGAGGAAATACAATGAAAGAGAAGAAAATTCTCATTATGAATAACATAATGATTTTTCTATTCTCGTATTCTTTATACAATATATAAATATAAGACGAGGGATTCAGTATAAAGCCATGACAGGATGTGACAACGTGTAACATTAGGAAGTTTACGATTCTGAATGATTGATATAGACTAAAGAACTGCCAATTTAAAATGTAACGTTTGGAATCTATAATATCTCTATATTCGAAGAAGACCAAACCATGATTTACAATTCGGATACGTGATTTTCTTTTTGAAGTAATGATGGAAAATATTTTGCTGTTGTCATAATAAACGGTATAATGCTTTTTGATGACCTCTGCGTGTCTTTGTGTTCATCTTTTTTTCCACTTAAGTGACACCTCTTGCCTAAGAGCCTAGGCATGAAATAGTGACTTGTTTATGAGAAAGTTACATATGTCAGTTTGAGTCATATTTCTTTTTCATAAAACAAAAATAAAATATAATATTATTATTATCCTGCTGTCTTCTAAGAAGTAGCTGTGTTTGTATCCTTATTACAATGCCATTATCGGACACTGCGAACTCAAACTTTCAATTATAAAATTGCTTTACTTCAGATTATCTTTAATTACGTCATCTGTATTTGTTATAAATTATTTTTTCTTGATTTTTTAATAATCAGTAATAGCGATATTGGGAAGCTGGTTCCTCTGTACAAACTTGAAAAGTTTCTTATCAACGCGCGCTTCCCCCGAAGCACCTGATCCCACCTCTGGAGTCTACAGGGGTCAGTGTTTTGACCTGTTCTTGATTCGTATCATTTGCAGGGTTTTTTTTTGAGATCAATCACTGTTTGATATCTTTACCTTTTTCATTTTCGTCAATGAACAATACATGCAGGAAAGAGCTGTTATTGAAAATGAAAAGTTTTGACAAAGAATAAGCTAATCTTCGAATCAAGCGTACCACTAATTTAATTGTGAAATACATGTAATACTTGTAGGTTTTGAATCTCTAGAAAAACGGGATTGACTTCCCATTTTTAATTCAACCTCTTTAATAGCATATTGATAATTTTAGAAATATTATTGCGTAATTTGTGACATGATTGTGGAATGGTCTTATTAATCCTAATCAAAACATGTAACGTGGGATATTGTGCCACAGTTGATTTAGTGTGAATAGCATCTGGAATCTCAGCACATAAGTGGCATCTGACATAAATCTCATCAGACTAACATGTGCGCCATCCAAAGATCGTATTTCTATTCTTGGATACATTTCTTTTAATTACAAAAAAACCCCTTTATTTTTCCTGCATTGATGTAAACAGCAAACAATTGGACAGAACAGAATATGACATTGTAGATAAATAAAAAGGAAATGATATTTCTAACACAAAACATCAGATGAATCCTAATTGATATATATTTTATTTCTAATTCAAATTCATTGTTTATCCTAAAGTAGGTTGACTTTTTTATATACGCACTTTCTAAAGAAAGTTCGGGTACCCTGGTCCGTCTGTCTGTCGGTCACACTTTCTTCTTCCTCAAAGTCCTCTTTTATTTTAAGCAGGAACCAATAAATCTTTTGGAATATATTTGGCGATGTCCCGTAGATGTGCAAAAAGACTTTTTTTTTCTACAAAAACCCGGTTCCCTTAACTCCTTTTACATTTTACGCATTAACTTTTATCTTTTAGAAGATGCTTGATGGTTTTCGGAAGGGTCAAGTGCATGGGGTCGACAATGATGTTTTTTTTCTACAAAACCCTGTTTCCCACAACTCCTCATACATTTTGCGCAGTAGTCAAATCATCTTTTGGAAAATGATTGATGGTGTCCTGTAGATGTGCAAAAAGGTTTTGAATTTTCCTTTTCATCCTTGGGACCAAATAGGGGTTGAAAACGACGCAAAAAATGTGGCCAGTGCATTGTGTCATGTGCAGCAGGAATATATTTGCATCAAGCGCTTTAAGGGTTGGAATCTCAATCATTTTATACCTGCACTTTTTAAAGAAAGTTCGAGTATATTGCTGTTATCCTGGTCCGTCCGTCTGTCTTACTACCTTCTTCCTCAAACTAGTCTTACATTTTAGGCAGTAGTCAAATTAACGTTTGGAATAGAATTGGTGGTGCTTTGAACATGTGCAAAACGATTTGAAATTTTCAATTTACCCTGGGGGCTAAATAGCGGTTAAAAACGGCATTAAAAAAATCTTACTCTCCAAATTGCAGTAGTCCATTCATATTTTATAATATAATTGGGAGTGTCCTGTAGATATGCAATAAGGTGCAAAAAAGACGGGGTTTCCTACAAAAATCTGGTTCTCTGAACCCCTTTTATATTTTTTGCAATAACCATCATCTTTTGGAATATGATTCAGGTGTTCTTTAGATGTACAATAAGGTCTCGGAATTTTCATTTTCACCTCTGCGGCCAAAATGGGGGTCAAAAATGATTTTGTTATATTTTATATATTTTTAAACAAAAACCTGGTTCCGTGAACTCCTGAGTACTAGTAGCCCATTCATATTTTGGGAGAAGTATTAATGACAAGTGAAAAGTGAGGTTAAAATTCATAAATTTTAAGGATTTTAAAAATTTATGACCAGAGATTGTAATGAAATTAATAGATGAAATATACTATGGGCCTCTTATTTAAATAGTCAATATACATTCTTCAAATCTCCCAAGCATGTTTTTATTTTCTTTTATTTTATAATTGCTGATCTTGTGAATGGTACTATGTTTCTGCAGTTACTCAATATGTGTGAATGATACGAAGTTTTTGTAACTCAGTATGTGTGAATGGTACGAAGATTCTGTAACTCAGTATGTGTGAATGGTACGAAGCTTTTGTAACTCAGTATGTATGAATGGTACAAAGTTTTTGTAACTCATTATGTATGAATGGTACAAAGTTTTTGTAACTCAGTATGTGTGAATGATACGAAGATTCTGTAACTCAGTATGTGTGAATGGTACGAAGTTTCTGTAACTCAGTATGTATGAATGGTACGAAGTTTTTGTAATCATTATGTGTGAATGGTACGAAGCTTTTGTAACGCAGTATGTGTGAATGGTACGAAGTTTTTGTAGCTCAGTATGTGTGAATGGTACGATGTTTCTTTAAAAATTCTTTTGTTACTTAGAATATGATCTGGGGCGATGC